GTTTAATGTTGTGTTCAAATGTTTTTATTGTAAAACGCCTAGGCACAGGGTATAAGTTGGTAAATACAAATAATACATTTGCAATGTTCATAAATATGTATTTAAAATAAATCTAGTGTATTCTGCTTTTCGAGCACCAGTGCCTCTAGTTTTTAATCTTTTGTTGATGGTATCCTATCTTTACTGTTTTGGTTTGAGCTGTTGGAAGTAGGTCATAGAGGAAGAGAATGGCTCGCTCTGTTTTTAATTAATCAAAGGTGCATGGATGGATGATCTGAGAGTTCATTTTTTGAAGTCTGCTGCAAATACTCCCGAGGTTCTAGGGAAAGGTCAATTGTACCACTCTACCTACTTACTTGAGAACAATGGAAGGATAGTGAAAACTGAAGCTCAGTTGGAACCTAGGTCAGGGGCCTGGCTGTTTTTAGGCCATGACCATGTATCTTTTAAAAATGTATATCTACATAACTATAGCCCAGTGGCACAAGGCATTAGGTGGTAATTGAGCCCAATGGGTGTAAGTTGAAACCCCCAATGGTTTAAAACAAAATGCATCTCTTCGTAACATCTTCTAGCATATACTGTATACCCAATGCTTTACTGATGTGATTCAAAAGACTTCAATGACAGTTGTTACCAGTAGCAATAAGGAGAAAAAAAGTTCAAATACTGAAGAATATCCAAGAAAGATAATCTATAAGGCCAACTGTTCTTATATCGGCAGCTCCCATGGAGTTAAATCTAACAAAACTAGTGTTTTTGCCAGACATTGGTCTCAATGGTAGGACACTAGGGAGCCAACTAGATGAAACTTAAATCTATAGGTATTTTTTATCAGATGCTAAGCCTTTCATGAAAGAAAAGAGCTGCATGTGAGAACCAGTTCTACAATATGATGTAATGGGCTTTACATTCCCATACTGGAATCAGCTTTGTGCTTTTGATTGCTTGCAACAGCACCTGCATGTAGTCTAGAGCTTATTGAAACTGAGGCTGCAGGAAATCTGCTTACTGGAGGGTTAGCAGTTCAAAGCTAGGTAAGCTCCTGGCTGTCAGCCCTAGCTTCTGCCTATCTAGCAGTTCGAAAGCATGTAATGCAAGTAGATCAATAGGTACCGCCTCAGCGGGAAGGTATAAGGACGCCCTATGCAGACGATAGGAGAAATTCTAAGGACAACGGACTCCTCGGTATGGAAAAATGGAACAAGAGCACCTCCCCATGGCTGGAGTTGAACATTGCCTCCAGGCGCTGGAGATGGAAAGGCCGCCATCTGTGTATTGTATGTCGTCCACTGTGTAAAAAGGCATTGAATGTTTGCCTTGTATATGTAAACTGTAATCTGCTCTGAGTGCTTCGAGGGAGATAAAGCAGAATATAAATAATGTTTGTGATTCTACTGAATAGAATTCTGATAAATTAATTGTGATATAAACCCAACAAATGAGATGCAGCTTATTAACCCATGCACATGCTTAGAAAAGGTGTTGCTTTATACTACAGCAGTGGTTCCCAATTTGTGGATCCCCAGATGTTTTTGGCCTTCAACTCCCAGAAATCATAACAGCTGGTAAACTGACTGGGATTTCTGAGAGTTGTAGGCCAAAAACATCTGGGGACCCCAGGTTGAGAACCACTGTACTACAGGAAATGGTCAAAACTGTAGAATTCAAGTAGTTTGACATCACTTTAACAGCTGTGGCACAGTGCTATGGAAACCTGGGTAGTTAAAACACATATGTAGCATTTCAGGAATGGATTAAGGAACTGGACTATGCCATTTTACTTAATCAGTAGAACTGGGATCTTGACCTCTTTGTTCTTACATACTGAGTATCTCTTATCTGAAATGCTCCAAAATCCAACATTGTTCCCATCGGAGGCTGAGATAGTGACATTTTGCTTTCTCATGGATCAATGTATACAAACTTTGTTTCATGCACAGAATTATTAGAAATAATGTGTATAATATTACCTTTAGGCTATGTGTATATAACATATATGAAATTATTTTCCTATTATCTCATGATGCACACATATGCAAATACAAGTATTCCAAAATCTGAAAAAAATCCAAAGTATTTCCTGTCCCAAGCATTTCAGAAAAGATATATACTCAACCTATATTATTTTCTGGAAATTGTTCTTAATGCTGATGTTGGAAATCATCTGATGCGTATTTTAAACAGGTATCCGGCTACCTCCAGTTAAAACAGCTTTTGGATTTCAGAATTCAAAATCACTTTTATTTTGAATATGCTTTAAAGTGATGTGTCTATTTCTTAGAAATTAACTGTTTCCAGTGGGAAGTAATTTTTCATACCTTAATGTGGATAGAAAGACTTATGTTCCAACCTGAAGGAGGCGGCTGGGGGAGAGTCCACCTCTTATTATTCAACTGACTGAGAACTTTACTTACAAATCGTTTAACATTCAAATGTGCATCATGTAGACAGCAACTCCATGTGGATATAACTTTTTGAAAATGTTAATGTCTTCAACTAAAGTTTATACATACAATTTTGCTCACATAATTGTATTTATTCTTATTCTGTGTGATTTAAATATATATTATATATTGTGCTTTTGAAATCTGCCATCAACCTCTTTTCTCGGGAAAAGGAATGCAATCAAGGCAATTCTCTTTCCTTTCTCGCCAACTATGTGCCCAGCAAGAGAAGGAATGCTGTCAGGAGCCCCCGGTAGCGCAATGAGTTAAACCCTTGTGCCGGCAGGACTGAAGACCGAAAGGTCCTAGGTTCTAATCCGGGGAGAGCGTGGATGAGCTCTCTCCATCAGCTCCAGCTCCCCATGTGGGGACATGAGAGAAGCCTCCCACAAGGATAGTAAAACATCAAACATCCAGGCGTCCCCTGGGCAATGTCCTTGCAGACGGCCAATTCTCTCACACCAGAAGCAACTTGCAGTTTCTCAAGTCACTCCTGATCCAAAAAAGTGAGCAATGCTCACTTGTGGAATTAGAATTTGAGGTGCATATGTAGAAACTGCAGCAGCACAAAGCAACCAACAATTTAAGAAGGTATATAAATGCCTTTCTCACAACTGTTAGCATCATTATACCTTATAGTGCAAAGGTTTTATATAGCTCTGCTCGAAGGGATACTATAGAAAGCAGCTGACAATGGATTTATCCTGCAGTTACAAATGCCAGCTGAAACTTTGCAATACTTTGTCTATGCGACGTATATTGCATCACTACAAATCATTAAAATATTCTGGAATTTTTATACATTTATCTCAAATATAATTTGAAAAATGAGTAGATGAACATATAAGTACAGACTTCTTTTAAGAAATGCCTGTTGTTATTATTATGTGATATACATTTTGTCACAATCTTTAAAAAAGCAAGGTTAATCAAGCAAAACTAAATTGCAGACTGTATATCTCAAATAATGCATCCAAATAATGTACATGTGCATAACCTCTACGTGCTACACTGTTTTTGGTGTGCCCTTAAAAGATACCTCACTCTGGAAAGAAAGAGAAGAATTTTAGACTAGACCATGAATCCAGCTATACATGATTGTCTTTGCTAGTTGTAGTAGGCATCACAGGTCTAATTGTAGAGGTCGGCAAGAGAAGGAAATATTTTAACCTCCATAAAAGAATGTTCTCTTTCCCTGGAACCTAAGAACATTTTCCAAAGCTGAGATCTTGGAGATTTGTATAATCTACCAAACGTATCCTACAACCAAGAGGAAATACATACAGGATGTGATGTCAGTACTGTGATTCTTGGATGTGCAGACAAGCATCTCAGGCACATGAACTGCATCCTGTCATAGGAATCACGTCATCTTTTGTGACCACCAACTCTTCTCACCCTGCCTTGGTTTTATTACATAACCTTCATATAGAAAAAAATATAAGCAAATGCAAAAAAGAGTAACCTAAACTCACCCAGCTTTATGACAGTCACCTATCCTAGATAGGAGTCATAGTGAAAGAAAAATCACACAACTCCTTTCCTTTGGAACGGGCATGAAAAGATATAAGCACATGGTTGCGGATTGCTCTTTTGCACCATGAATGTAACTGATACATGGACGCGGGAGTTGGCTTATTATGATAACAGCCCTACTTTGTTTAATACAGTGGTTCTCAACCTGTGGGTCCCCAGGTGTTTTGGACTACAACTCCCAGAAAGCCAAGCAAGTTTACCAGCTGTTAGAATTTCTGGGAGTTGAAGGCTAAAATATCTGGGGACCCACAGGTTGCGAACCACTGGTTTAATAGATGAATGCATTAGGTCAATAAAGGTGATCTCTGGGTAGAAGCTTCTTTCTGCAAATATCAGGCAGAAAGACAGATTCTTCAGGCAGTGGTCCTGGACTGGATGAGGTGCTGATGGACAGAGTTGTGTGGCTTGTATTTCCTAACCACTGTTGTCTTCAGGTGTAGTAAAAATGCTGTCCCACTGTTAGGATTGAAGTAAGATGCAACTGCTAGTCCAGCCAGCTTTTGTACATGGAAAAAGAGGAATTGTGTCTTCTTGTCCTTCACCTCAAGTAGCAAAATGTCTTGCGTCAGCCTTGCCAATAATTATCTGAGATCAATTTAATTAGTTGGACTAAATTCATTATAGAAAAATCCCTCCAATGCTGGAAAATAAAGCCCAAACAAGGTTAAACCCAGTGAGCATTTTGTCTTCATTTTCTCCAGTTAGTCTCTTAGGAATGTCTTTGTGGTATCTAGTAAGCCAACAGTTTCAAGAGTTACATTCCTGGAAGTCTGTCTCAGGTGAGGTATCAGTGCAGAAGTCCAGGGTATCCAGTAAAGATCCCTTATACCTAACAGCTTGCCAATCAAATTCCCCAACAAATAGGAAAGTTCAAGGAAGTTCTGCAGACCAAAAGCTAACCATAATACAAGGGGGAAAATACATATAAAAACAAAGGGCTCATCATAGCAATCTCAATTACATCAAAAAGGCTTCTGAAGCTGCTACAGGGAAATGCCTTCAGCATGGTTATTTCCATTTTCCTTTCTTTTTATGACAGACATGCATCTTAAAGATGCATGCAGAATGTCACATAAAAACAGCTCAACAACAATTTCATCATGTAGTTGAGAAATATATATATATATCAGGAAGCCAGACTGCCAAGCATGCAACTTGTGGGCATCACAATGGAATGGCTAACCATCCTTAAGAAACTTTGGCATGCACATTCAGAAGTGAAGTCAAAGATACTTTCCTGTAACAGGAACGGGCCCAATCTCCCAAGGCAGCTTTCCAAAAGACTGTGCCTGAACATCAGAAGTAGGTCTAACCCAGTAGATCATGCTGCCTTGCAACACTTTCAACAGGAACATGATTAAATCACAGCTTCCAGAAAGGAATTAGCTCTTAAACTCTTTCCAAAAAAGCGTCTCTTTGACGCAGATCCATTTAGTTACTACAGCAATGACTTGCTCATGTTTTTTTACAATCATTCATGTGAATCAAAGACTATGTGACAGAGGGACTCATCTTGACCATTCATGGGTTTTGCTGTTAGACTTGGGAGCTTCCATGAAGAGGCAACTGAAATGGGATCATGGAGTATTCAACAGCTTTGCTTGCAAATCCACCCAGCAAAGGCAGTCCAACAGGTTTAAGAGGCCCTACAAAGAAGAAATATGCTATGAAAAGCTGGACTTCTTTCATTTTTGTGCATGCAAAAATAATTACAAATCTGCTAGGAGGCAGCTAGGGAGATGATGTTTTATCAAAAACAATGTGTTTTTTTTTTACTGTATAGCTTTTCTCAAATGCCATTTCAAAAAATGACATGTATTCCCCCCAAGTCAAATATGATTGATGTTCTTGTGATCTTAATGGGAAAGTTAAACAAGCATTTCAGTTTTTTTTCCAGTAAAATAATGGTGTTTGAGAGCTTTGCCTTGGCTACCCACTGCTCAAAATGTATCAAAACGTTCAGAAATTGTCTACCAGTTATTCGCAAAAATACTATGTTTGGAGGTTCTAGCAGGGAAGCACAGCTATCATATACCCGGGACCGAAGACTGGAAACCTCGGTACACTCCCTCTATACCTGGGACGTTGTCCTCTTCAACTGAGCATGCAGCTTTGGGAGGGATGCACATGGAGCGGTGAGGGAGGAAGGGGACACCTGCCGAGCCAGCCAGATCTGCTGAATCAACCCTGGCGATCAATGGGGTGACAGATGTCGCAGCCAGATCGCCCTCACATCCAAAAAGTACTATACAGACAAACAACTGTGTTGTTGAAAATGTTCCCTCGCTATTAAAGATGTTGGTTGAGATTGATAGGGATTGTAGCCCAGCACCATCGAAGGCACCAGCTACCTGGTCCTGATTTGTCAAGTTGTGGGGTACCTTCAAGAAATATTCTTACCTAAATTGTTAACTGAAATGCTTGCACAATTTAAACTGTAATTTAAGACTCTTTGAACTTTTTTTTGATATGACACTAAAATCATATGTAAAACAAGTATGAATGATATTACTCAGGGTGGAACACAGATAAAGCAAATGTACTTTGTGAACAATGATGTCATTTTATTATAGACACATTTTAATCACAAATAATATTAACCTACATTTATGAAATGCACTAGATGCTTAAAAGCTAAATTCTGGATGTTTAAAAGATACGATACATAGACTACTGAGATGTTCCATCAAAAGCTCAATGCTTTCCTCTCCTCCCTTATTCTTTAACAGTGGTTCTCAACCTGTGGGTCCCCACATGTTTTGGTCTTCAACTCCCAGAAATCCTAACAGCTGTTAAACTGGCTGAGATTTCTGAGAGTTGTAGGCCAAAACGCCTGGGGGCCCACAGGTTGAGAACTACTGATCTATCTCCTTGTTTAATTAACCATGCATTTGGCTGGTAACTGGTTGTGGCAAAAGTCTTCTAGTACAGGATGTTCTATGTTAATTTTCATTAGTACGTTTAAATGTTTTAAAACATTTATAAATTCAAACTTTTAATACTTGTTGTTTTAAACATTTTCATTGTTCAATGTTTAAGCCATACTTTGTTAAGTCATGTTGGGTCAGATATTGGAACAGAGGTAAGCAGGTAAATAAGTAATTAAATTATCTGAAACAGAAGAATGGAAATACAATAATATAAAAGGAAGAGAGACTAAGATGGAAGAAAAGACAAGATAAAAGAAAGAAGAGGAAAAACCACTCAGATGATAGGAAGTCAATAAAAGAGAAACATACCACCCTTCTCCTAGTTTTAACTATTTATCTGCTGTTTTTTGCTGTTCTTTCTTGTTTTTTGTTTGTTTTCGTCTTTTTGTTTTTTTTGTTTTTTTGTATTTCATGTGTTATTACTGTCTCTATCACTTTGTATTTTAAAAGGAAATTCTCAATAAAGATTATTTTTTAAAAATAAGTAATTAAATAAACAAGTGCTAATGCAGTATGGTAGATTCAGTGCTGGACTCTGATCAGCTACCAGGGTTCAAATACTTGCTTGGCCAAGGAACCCATTGGATGACCTTAAGCAGGTCACATTCCCTTGTCCTCAAAGGAAGACAAAGGCTGAAACTCTTAACAAATCTCACCAAGCAAACTCCAAGAAAAGGTGAACGTAAGTCAGAAATGACGTAGGCACACAATAACAAATAAGGACCTTCCACACAGCCCTATATCCCACAATATCAAAGCAGAAAATCCCACGATATCTGCTTTGAACTGAGCTATCTGAATCCACACTGCCATATATTCCAGTTCAAAGCAGATAATGTGGAATTTTATTCAGCTATGTGGAAGGGCCCTAAATAAGCAAAATATCCCTCTCCAAATGTTACAAATATCACAAAGGGATATACTTTGGAATTAAACAAAATAAAACTGCATTAATTATAGTATGTGCCCCAGAAGAGTTTTTTTTTTAAAAAAATTAACAATGGTTTGTGCAGTTTCTCTAATGGACCACAGTGTTTGTACAACTTGAACAACACTGCATTTAGACATGGAAGAAAAGAAAAAACTCTATCACATGGAATTAAATTAACTTCTCTCTACTGAAGATGTGACAAACTTGGGATGGGTGGGGTGGACATGCGCGGTAATCATTAGGTAATTGAATTGAATTAATTAATTAAATAAATAAATAAATAACAAAACTAGTTTTAGAGTTAATCTCTAATTTTGCTAAGTCAGAAGCTCTGCCTCTGTAATATTCACTTCTGATTGCATGGATTCCGAGAGTAAAATTGTCCCCTGGAATGGGGACCTTGGAGGTGGTTCACAGAGATTAAATTCCTGCCTTGGGCTTTATCTCAGCAGGACACAGCAAGGCAGAGGGAACTGTGAACGGAAGACCCACCATATTTGGCTGAGTTGAGCTAAGCGGACCCCATTTGGGCCCAAGACCCACAATTTAAGAAGCAGTGTATTAGAAAACTTGAAAGGCAAGACTAAGAATTTGGCGGAGACTCCAGAGAAATTGAAGCACAATAAGGAAGAAATTATAGATGCAGTGACACTTTTAGACCTCAAAAAGACCTCATAAATCCATGAGAATTTGTGGTTTGCCAGAGGAAAGTCTTCACACTAAAATGATTAAAGCACTCACTTTCTGGAAGTTCTGGATAAATATTTCAAGTGGAAGATAAGGATTTACAAACAGGATTTTTATGTGGCTCAACATAGAAATCTGGTTAATTTTGTTAGAGCTCAACTTGTGATTTTGTTCTACAGCAACATCACCTAAAGACGTTAACTACTGATGGTCAACAGCTGGTTTCATTTAGGGATATATTTATAATTTTGAAGAAGAGAAAGGGCTATACTGTCTTAACACAAAAGTTGAAAATGAATGATATCCCACTTACATGGGTGAAACTAGAAGGAATCTCTCTCAAGTTTAATAAAATGAGATTGAGATAAAATACATTGCAAAAGGTGGAATAATTATTGTATGGCTGTGTTTTAGCAACATTTTCTCCTGATGTTTTGCCTGCATCTGTGGCTGGCATCTTCAGAGGATCCTTTGAAGATGTTAGCCACAGATGCAGGTAAATGTCAGAAGCAAATGTAGCTAGAACATGGCCATGTAGCCCATAAAACACACAAGACCCCAGATATGTGGTTGAACATATTTTCCAAGACAATAATGGGGTGAAAAAGTAATAGTTGGTGTCTATGCTACTTCAGAAGTAAAGTCAGAATTTGCTCAAAACTGATAAAACAAATTTGATGGGAAAATAGATTGGAGTAATATTGGCTAAACTGCATTTATAACTGAGAAGACATTAAAGGAGATCAAGGCAAATTGACAAAATTATTTTTGAACTGATGGAAAATCTTACCGCTTAAGAGATTTAAAGATGGCCTCCCCCTCCAAAAAAACACAAGTCATTTTTGAGGATTGATATGTTTTGGTATCTAAATCTATAAGCCATACATTTTTAAAAATTTGCCTCAAATCATGTCAGATCACAATTTGTTTCTTTAATTTTGCATAACAGAAAAGGGTTGTTTAATTGGAGTGCAATGAATCATTACTATTTGATGAGAAAATTATTCTGAAAGCAAAGAAGCAGTTAAATCATTTATAAGTATTATGTATTGCTTTACAAACCTTCATGGTCTGCCAAAGACAAAACTGAAAAATATCTAGAAAGACAAGATTTTCAAATGCTTTATAAAGGAGGCGATGAACGGATAACTGTTAGGTTCTTGAGGCACTTACAGATCAACTAATTGTGATGAACTAGTTGTGCCTTTACAGCAAACCAGGGATGCCACAGTAAAGAATAAATTACCCGATTCTTAGTGACAGGCTAATCTAATTTTTGTTCTTAAAGATAACCATGATCTAAAAGATTCCAAAAATGACATGCCAATATCTGAATTAAGACCATATGTTTGCTGCCTTTTGGCAAGGAAATTGAATAAAGTTTTACATGAAGATTAAGCGGTTTTTCTATAAAAGTGATACCTAGATGTGTTTTGGATTTTTGGAATACTATGAGGTCCATAATGAGAAGCAAATGGTTTTGATATTTTGACAATATGTCTTCGCCTTTCATGTAGACTGTGCTGGAGAAGATAAAATTTGTATGAAACTTTCAAGAAAGGATTAAATAGATATATGATATCCAAAATGATGAATGATTATAGATTAATGGGAAATTGTGTAAACCATGTAAAATACAAAAAAAAACCCCACTAGACAGAAATGTCTTCTGTCACCATTATTGCTTGCAATGGCGCTAGAAGTATTAAATAGCGTAACTAGAACTTAAAAGGATATAAAAGGAGTATACATAAATCATTTGCTGATGATTTGGTGATTCTTTAAATTAGATTGGTTGCATGCTGGTGAGACTTTAACTTTATCCTGAAGGAGTATAGAGAATGGTCAGGTTTTTAAATTGCCTTAATCTGCTAGCCAACAATCTTGTTGGAAAGAAATGGCAACATTTTTCTTACCATTTGGCAAAACAGAAGAAATGAATTGTTGGAATGCAAGAGTGCATATTTACCATTCTAATTCCAAGACTAACAAAGGAATAATAATGACGTCCAAAGATGTCACGGTAACACACCACTAAGATTGGAATGAGCTGTCCTGCTGCTGCCCTTGGCTGGGAAGCCTAAACTACAACTGAGCCAGGAAAAGGGTGATTAAAGACAAAGTATGCTCCCTCTTTTTGTATCCTGCATAAATTCTTAAATCTTTGATATAATGGTGGCAGAGACAAGATAATTTTATTAAATCAGACTGAGCTGACTGAAAGTAACATTGGATGCTTGGGTGTATGCTCTCTACAATATATTGGAGGTGGAGGGTTTGTAACCTCAGTGGAAAGCCCCCTCTGCAAAGATATTCTCCAAAAGATAAGCAGGTGCTAGCACAGGAATACTCCTCACAGAAAAGAGGACTTTTGCAAGGTGGATTCGGTACTGAAGTGGAGTTGGCTCTCCATCTAGTGGCGACTGAGCTGACGGTGAAAGTGGAAAGCAATCTTGGAATATCTCTCCAATACTATTTCTTGCATGCTCAAGAGGAATCCAAGAGGTTGAGGTTATTCAATAGTACAATGTTGATGAGATGAATCAGATAGTAGAATGGGAACAGTAAAAATGGAGATTTAGATTGCATTGCTGGCTGGTATTAAATACCTGGTCTCAATAGTATCAAGACTCTAGTACTAAAGAATACAATGGATATAAGTTAAAACTATCTAAGTAATTGACATCAGCAGGTCGGACAAAGGAAGTACTTCATCTCCTTTGACTTATGCTTCTCCTCTTCTTATTTCTTTTTATATTGATCAGTCTGATCTTTCCATCAGCTGAACATTAGACTGATTGAGAAAGAGACCTTACAGGAGTCAATAGTAGAGTCGAGTCTCATGGCAAGATATAGGAACTGTAGGGACTGAAAGGATAGTTTATTCTTGAAGGAACTATGGACTATTGCAGCGAATATCAAAGATAGCTATAAATTCTTATGTCAAAGATGACATCAGGGCTACCCAAATAGAAGGGAAAATAGCCTTGACAATGCAGGATCAAATGCAATATGGAGGAAAGGGTGGGGTTTCTGTCAGAATAACTCTAGATAATTTCCAGATTAGTCTTTGTAAAGGTGCAAGATCTATAATACAGAAAATAGAAAATATGCTGAAAGGTCAATTTATTACAAATTAAAAGTGAACTTATATTCCAATAATTGTAAATCAAGTAAAGTCATCCAATGATCAAAGCCTTGATTAACATTAAAATGTCTTTACTTAGTTTCCAATTTTTCACGGGCACGCTCTAGGTAAATAAATCCATTTATAGCCATAATCCTGTATACGTTTAACAGATAGACCTACTGAGGATCCAGTGTTTTGAAGAAGTTTGACTGTTAGACTAGGATTCCAGAACACTAGGTTTTAAATACTACCAAGAGATGACCTATGCCGAGCTAGAATTGTGCCTATACATTGTTTCAGTTTCATCATCAAGATGGCCTTAGGGCCGCCATAAGTCGGGTACGACTTGAAGGCACACAACAAAGCAACTAAGCATATAGAACCCATAAGAAAAGGCACAAAACGTCTCAGGAATAATTGCATGCAATCTGAAATAATGGGATGGGGGCATCACTCTTTGAAATCGAATAAAACAAAATTCAAGAAAGAGCCAAAACTTTATTGGCCAAACAAAATGCACAAAATACTTCATTAAAGGTCTTGAAGCTCCACTGGCTTCTTCAACAGGCAAAAGATTATACACTTACAGGACAAGAAATAAATGCGATAGTGTTGGGAGTCACAGGTCTTCTATTATCAGATGTAGTTTTTGTTGTTTTTCAGTTGGTCTTGGGAGGTCTCAATGCAGACGGAAGCCACTCACTCTCTTTTGATTATGTGGAGACTGAGACAAAGAACCGTAAATGTAAACTCTATGAGCAGCAGTGAAATAACTCTACTTGGGATCCAGGAATGTCTCTTTCTTTGGCAGAGAACAGTAATTTCTCAAGATGTCTAAATCTGTAAAAACCTTCAGCTGCTGTATAGGTAAGACCTATTCAGTAATATTCATAAAGAAAAAAAAGGTTTTAAACATATTTTGCTTGATGAAAAGTAGTGGAGCTTTGGAAACTTGAATGTAGTGTTTTGTGCATTCTGGTTGGCTAATAACATTTTGTTCTTTTGAGGGATTTGTTTAGTAATTTGGTGCATGGCCAACATGACTACACTTTCTTGAATACTGAAATTGTATGTGCTGTGTTGTGTCACTGCGGCTTAACATTAACAGAAGGCATTTCTGCAGCCATTCCAATGAATACAATCAGAAAACTCTGGGACTGAAACCACTGGCATAGCTGAAATGACATTTGCTCTTGTTTCAGAGCTGCACAGTGAGTTTTGATGTATAGTTCTATAAACAAGAATGTATGGCAAACTTTGAACAACAGAAAAGGAAGAAAAACAAACAAACAACAGAAGTTAAAAGTGAAATAATGGAAGACTATGAAAAAGTTATCAGCTTTTTTTAAAAAATCATTTGACAAAAGTATATAGGAAAAAACGTATTTTGGTACCAATATTCCCTTCCATTTTATCATATCTCAGCTTTTATCTGAATGTCTGGTTGAGCGAAATGTTACCAGATCACAATTTTTCCAGCTTTGAGCAAAATACGCTCCCCTAAAGCCCGAAGTGCATTCCCATGCTCATTTTTAAAACCTCATTGCGGTCTCTAGTTTTTTGTGTTTTTGCTTTTGCCACAGGCGTCCCGCCCAAATCAGAAATGATTCTGGACCGGCTTTGGTCATATTTTCCTGCATTGGGGGCGGGGGGGGGGGGGGGGGGGGGGGGGGAGGTTAGATTGTATGGCCCTTGTGGTCTCTTCCAACTTTATGATTCTATTGCTATACAGTACCACTCCTGCCTTGATAAGAGATTACTTTGTTTGGTGCTGTATGTGCAGTTCTAATCCAATGATGGAAAGAGTTCATATTTACATCCATTGGTGTTGGATGTAAGAAACCACCCCTACAACAGATTTTGTATGCATAGACCCCCACTGCAGTAGCAAATTAAGAAAGGATGTCTTGGCACAGACCAAGCTTCAAAGAAAAAGATGACCATTGGTATTGAAAATCAATTGACATCAAACAGTACCGGTATGGGCCTAAGATACTATGGATTCTCCTTTGGGTGCATTGACAGTTTACAATAAAACCAAATGCTATTTTGTACCTCTCAAAAGCATATATACTACACCTGAGGCAGTATGCAGTTGGAAATTAGTTTTTCTAACTATTTTGACTTCTTTTCTAATCTGAACATTTTCCTTAATTGCTTCATTTGAATGAAAAACTAATACAATTTTGAAAAAGGGTGATGGGGGAGATGAGATCAAACTTACCCAGCTGGTATTTTGAGTAACAACTTGATACTTGGCCAGCACTGCATAACTGCCTCGTACTCCGTTGTCTTACACCCAGGTCAGTGAGCTTGCACTGTGTCTTCCTCTGCTTACTCATTTTTTTTTGAACCTCGGAAGAACCATCATCAACACTGACACGTTTGCTTGATTTCTTGCTGTCTCGTCCAATATGCATCCCTTTCACCAAGGTGGAATACTCTGCAGCTTTAGATGCTTCTGTGTTCTTTTCACAATTGTCAGATGTGCTTTGCTTAGCAGAATGGGATCTCAGAGTACAGTGGGGTTTCTCTTGAAAGTAGCTGTGACCAGTACTATGATTAACAGATTTAGGAGTACAAAAAGCAGGAGTTGTATTAAGTGGCCACTGCTCTTCAACAGGACTGATCTTCTTCAGAAATATTCTGCAATTCTTAAAGGCCTTGTCTCTCCAACTATCTTCACCAGGGGTCTGCTCTTTTTCACTCTTTTGCTGGTTACAATATGCTAACAGTGTGCTTGATGTGCAATTATTTCTGAATCCAGAGTTTGTGTTGAGGTCAGTCAGTTGCGTTTTCTGTTGACAAAAGGCATCTCCAATTTCATTTCCAGTTGCTGAAGTGATTGTATGAGGTTCTAGCAAAATTGAGGGTGGTTTAGGTTGTACAGTACCATTTCTGTGCTTCATGCACAACTGGGTGTTAATTTTCCTGTTTGCATTAGCAAAACTCTGACTTTGGCAGAAGAACCGCAAGCTTCTTCTTTTAGATTTCCAGTCACTTGTTCTGTGATTATACAATTTTTTCACTTTTCTCCACCGTTCATGTTGAATATTCTCAAATTTTGTTTTTCTAAATTTAGCTAGTGTATAATTATGTTTTCTGTTTAAGATTTGAGATTTTACTATTTGTAAATCCCCTGCAGATTTTGAGGGTGAGGATAGTGCAAATTTTTTAAAGTGCTTGCTCAAAGGACTAGGATTACAATCATATTGTCTTGTTCCCATTTTAAACTGTTTTGTACTAATTACTTCGAAAGGATTGCGAGCATTCGCTTTTCTCACTAATGACAGTGACTGTGTTTCTGTTGTCTGCATAAACCACGTGCACAATTCATCTATAGTGCATTTTTTCTGGAAAAGCATTTTTATAGGTGAATGCTCAAGCTGCAAAATACAGGAATCCAAAGGGTTTGATACTTTCATGCTACAATCTTGTTCACGATGACACTCTTCTTCATCATACAGACATTTTCCAAATTCCTCTCCATTCACATTTAGCCAAGTATTTGTTATCTGATCATATCTATTGTTCAGTTCTTTCAGCAAGGAATCATTAGAAATGGAAGGGTCCCACCACCTAAGAGAATTGGATGAAATGATGGGATCCAATGACATTTCATGAATGGACCTCAATTTACTATGTTCAGAACCCTTTTTCGTATTTTCTGGCTCTTTTTTTACTGAGCTATGTTTGGGCACCATGCTTGAGTGATGCTGTTTTTTTTTATTTCTGTTTTTCAAACAGAATTTATATGATTTGTGTGGAAAGGCACGTCTGCAAGACAACGGACTAGAAGTTGTTAAAGAATGTAAGAAAGACAGTGAGGGTCTTCTATCTCTAAGAGACTGCCTCAAAGGAATTTCAGGTTTTTTTGGAGCTAAAATCTTCTTACATGAAAAATCCACATCTGTGTCATTCCATATACCTTTAGAAGCATACCGCTTATTGCACTGCTTATTATCCTTCTCAAAAGATTCATTTTTTTCTAAAACAGTCTCTTGTTCTAAAGGAGGCAGGCAGCTGCTGATACTCACTTTTCTTTCCTGAGATGAAATCTGATTAACAGTCACTGATATGCCAGATATTTTTACTTTTGCTGGTCTGCCAGGTTTTCTAATTATATTTAAAGGCTTCTGGTTTGGTCTTATGATACTGCTGCAATGGGATGCTACTACTGGGCTGCTCTCAAGGGGCCTAACATATGCATAACCAGATGTAGAATTTGGCATATGTTTGTTTAACAAACTGTCCCTGGTTTCCGAGTTCTTTAGTTGAGCAGATTCACATAGAACATCACAATCACGATGATGATCTGGAACCACATTGACTACATTTACCGTGCCTTCTGAAACACACCTCTTAGTCCTTCGTGATCTTCCAAAGACAACTGTCACAGTAATATTTTTGTTAATGCTCTCCCCCTCCAAAAGCTCTGCATCAGAGCTTCCATTTTTACTACTGCTAGTGGAGTCACTCATGCAGTTGATATTTTCAGGAGCAGCTACCTTAGGCTTTGGAGGTCGACCAATGGGTCGCTTAAACTGTTTTACAACTTGAGGACCTATTTTTTTGGGTCTGCCAGGTTTTCTTTTTAGGGAGGATCCGGTGTTGCTTTGTTCTATGGCTTCTTCACTTGGCTTGTGTTCACTAATGTTTGTTTCATTAGTTGTAGGAAAACCAGAATTCACTTCATGTTTATTATCATTTTCATTACACCTGTGTTCTTCAACTGAAACATTTTTACCAAGATCCTTGGTTTCCGATTGGTTCTCTGATGGTACATTTGTTTTCTCATGAACAGAATAAAGATCAATGTTTAATTTAGAAGAATCATTTACAGACTTTAATGTATATTTGACTCCTTCACTACTGCTAATTTCTGAAAGAAACATAAGCTTTATAGGACTGGTGTAATTTAGTGTTGTAGGTGAATTATTCCCAACATCAGAATTTGCTTGTAAATCCTCATTACTTGAAGCCAATGCATCTGAGTCAAGTGAGTTTGATGATTTCCAAAGGGTTTTATATTCTTCATCAGAGATTTCTTCTTTTGTTGATAAACACTCCTTTCTGTTACTACTGCTAAATGGCACATGAGCTTGTGATAGGAAATATTGTCCCTCACTTCCAGTTTCACTCATAATAAAAAGGCCACTTTTAGAATTGTTGTTGGCATCAGACTTGTGAATATCTTTTAGTTTGCTGGATACTGTATAACCATTAAAAAAGGGGGGTTTCACCTTTTGGGCCATATGTAACGTATCTTCCAAACGCTCGACAACAACATGTAGATTTGTGTTTTGCACCATCTTGTTTATATCTCTATTGCTACATGTTTTCACCTGAAAATCTGTAAGTGTTTTATCTTTTTCCATGCAGTAAGGATGAGTTTTTGTTGGTGAAGATTTTTGAAACAAAACATTGTTTGTTACATACACAGAGCACCACATGGGAGGGATAATGGTATGTTTTGTCCTTTCCAGTAACCTGTCATCATCTCTCTTTACAGGAACAGTATCCACATGCAGATCAACCCCACAACTCTGCATTTCATCCGAGTGAGTTTGGAATGTTGTACAATTTCTTTCTGAAAATGTCACAAAACCAGAATCAGTTCCTGCGCTATTCTGAGATTGTTCAAGTGACTCTTGTTGACTTACTGGCAGAAATGGTGACTTGATGGGAGAAAATAGCTTCTCTTTATTTTCTTGATTTTCTAAATCAAGGTGGTTTAATGTATTATGACTGACAATTTTGTTTGGTGATGGTTTGTCATTTTTTACAAGCTTTTTTGCATTCCTATCTGAATTTGCCTTTTTCCTAATGAAGGTTTCATCAAGATTAGCCAACTCTCTCTTAATTTGCAAAGACTGCCGTCTAAATAGAGAAGAATCAGGGGAATTGTGCATAGCAAACAAGGTTTCCTGCCGTTTTCGAAATCTTGTTTGGATAATTTTATTTTCTACATCTTTGTCATGTTGGTTCAGTAACTCCATAAAACTGTCATCATTTGGCTTAGCATCATGTAAGAGAGATGTTATGAAGCTCCGCAATTTAATATCGGCTTCTGTTCCCCCTTCATTCTTGGACATTCTTGACACATTTGTAGTATTAGCAGTTTCTATTGATTTCAATTTCTCATTGATTCTGTCCATTAAGTCTTGAAAAGGGGCATTTTCAACTTGTTCAAGCTTTTCAGAATTTATAAGGCTGTTTTCTTGATTTGCACTTAGAAGGGTTTCACCCAAATTACCAACCGCTTCTATGATGAATATACCATCTTTCTGTTCAAATGAAGAAAAAATTCTTTCAGCTGGTAGGAGGGATGGAGGTTGTTTACTCATTTCAAGTCTCTTATCTAAGGAAGAAGAATCTTGAACTGATTTTCCCAAAGAGTCACACTCATCAGTTTCTACAGGTGACAAAGATGGTGGTGAAGGGCTGCGGGCTCTGCTAACTTTATTAGTCTTTTGCCCTGTTGAACAGAGATGCATACAAAGTGTAGGTTTAGCAGAGTGGAGTTTACACTGTTGTAACTGTTTGGGACGGCATCCATTAGGACTACAAGGCACAGGATTCCCTTTGCTCACCACAGTGTTAAAGTGTCCAAAAGCCACAGATTGGCCTGACAAGCTATCTGTATCAGTCATACAGACTGACAGAGATGGTGAACAAATATTTGGTCTTTGATTCTGTAAACAGCACCTTTTGATTAGCATGTTGCCTTCAAAACTGCAGACTGGAATGTGCGCATGATCTTCAGCTGTTTCATAAAATATAGTACCCGGAAGTTGATAATTACAAACTGAATGAATACATGGGTCCTGGATTAAAAAATTCAACATAGCTAAAATCTGATGCCAATGATACGAGCATAACGTTGCCAAAACCTTGCTTAGAGCAGAGTTTCCTCTTTCCAATTTAGTTGTTTCCTCTGATTTTGCACCAGCTGCTGTACTTGAACTGAAAACAAAAAGCAGATCAAAACAAAAAGTAAATTACACTGAAAAAATGGCATAATGTGGATGATGTCTAACTGTATAAGTGAAATATGGACACTGTACCAAGTGTCCATATTTCAAATAGTTTTATAGAAATCCTCTACTTCCTTTGAGATTCCATATATGAATTACAAGGAAAATGTGTACACATTCTCCTAGAACTCAGAAACATAAATTACCATAGATACTCATGCATAATGTAAATAGAAAAAAAATATTCCAAAAGATCACCCCCAAAAACTGTGGTCAACTTATACATGGATCAGTGCAAGAATAGGGAGCCAATGCAAGGGCCGAGACAAGAGGCAGAGTTGAGAAGTGCTCCCAACCCATTATTCCCCCTTTGTCCAAGTTGAAAAAAGGAAGCCAGGTTCCATTCTTCCTCACTTTTTTTCAGCTTGAGCAGAGTTTAGGAGCAATATGGGAAAGCCAAAATTGGGTGACTGGGGTAACACGAACGGGTAGCGGCCACTACAGTCTCTCTGCAGAAAACCTTATGCACTTACTCTCTTGCTTTAAATGGTTATCCTTGTTTCAATTCATCTCAGATTCCCGAAATGACTTCCCCACATTGCTGCTGAACTCTGCTCAGGTCTAAAATGAAGGTGAGGAAGGAGGGAGAGCTGTCTTTCTTTCTTCAGTTTGGGCAAGGGAACAGAAATAAGGCAGGAGGGCTTTTCACCTGTTTCTTGTAATTGCCTTCACGTTGGGTTCCAACTAAAGGCAGATTGCTTTCCTTGCTCCTCTCCCCCACTTTTTTCAGGCTATATTCTGATTATTCTTCGTTTATATTCTTTCCCCCCATCTGTGTTTGCACAGATGTAAATATTTTAAGATCAGCAATGCAATTTACACCCCCATGGTAATCCCTTAAATAAACAGACTCTCTTCTTCTCTTTAGTTCTTTCTAATATTTGTTTACTTTATAGCCTAACTTTTGTCCTTAATGTATCCATGAGTCAACATAAAATCCATAATTTTTGCCCAAAAACTGTCCTCAGCTTGTATATGAAATCAACTTATACATGAGTATATGGTATGTTAACAGACCTTTAACCTGGCTAACAAAAACATTAGCAAGGAAGATCATGTGATACAAAATAGACATTTGATCGCACCTCCTTCAATAGTTGATGATGAAAATAATAATATTAATACTAATAATAACAATAATAATAATGTATTTGTTAGCCGCCTATCCTCACAGGTTGAGGCGGGGCACAACATAGTTAAAATACAAAGGATATTAAGTATGAAATAATAAATCTTGTCTCCCTTTAAGGAGAAATTTTAATTATTAGACACTATAGTTGTAAGTCTGAGCACATTAAAAATACTCAGTTCAACATTGATTCAGGATGCTATAGATCACTGGTTCTCAACAATGTGGCTCCCCAGATGTTTTGGCCTTCAACTAGAAATCCTAACAGCTGGTAAACTGGCTGGGATTTCTGGGAATTGTAGGCCAAAACACCTGGGGACCCACAGGTTGAGAACTACTGCTTTAGATAAAACAAATTTCTTAAAGTATTTTAACATATTCTAGAAGTATCTTAAAAATGCATGTATCCTAAAGTACATTTTATGCTGCATATATATTAGCAAAGCAAAGAACCTACCATTCATGCATGGCTTATCACTTCACAGAAAAAAAATATACTATTTGTGTTTGAAAAACATGATAGTGTGCATACACACAGCTTCTTATATGGCTGTTCTACCAATGTAGAAAATGGCTTTTTATGAGGTGGCCCTTAATTTGAAGGGAAAGTGTTCAGGGTTGGGAAGTGAAACAGCAATATAATGCTTTTTAATGTTCATGTAGGAAATTACAGAATTAGAAAGGTAATCCTTTTTATGTTTTGGGCTTTGCCTAGAAGGGTATGATATAATTAATTGTACAACACTATGCACTTAAAAGTCATGATGTACTTCATTTGGACCTGGTCTCCTTCTAAACATGTTTACAGTACTATAAATTCACTGGTTACTGTGGATTTCTAAAACCTATTTGAAAAGATGCCCTGTGGCATTGGAATTGTATCTTTTAAAATTCTTAAGTCATTATAAATATTGTTCTTAACATTTTAAATACTGGACTAAATGGAATTGTTAGTCACAATTAGAGGAGACTCCTTTGCATGTTGACTTATCAAGTCCCATTTACTCACCAAGTTTACGCATTAGATGGGACCGGTACTTGGATTTAGCACTTTCTTTTTATATCTTCACCACAGATACAAATATGCATTATCTGCATTTTACTTCAATAAGCAAATCGACCATTGTACAGATAGTTCTCTTCATTCATTAAAGGAAAAAGTATTCCCATGTATTCTTCTGGAATTGTGTTGCTGTGCATTTAAAGGAAAGAGACCCTTCATTCATAAGACAGCAGGCCCTTTTGTAGGGTTCCTGGACAGGAACCCCACAAAAGTTGGACAACTGTGAATAAAATAACACTATTGTTTAATCTGATAGAATACCTCTCTAAGAATCTCTGAATTCTCCAGTTCAATCTGCTGGAAGTTGACTACAGAGTCACAGTGGAGGACCCAGAGATTCCGAGAGTAAATATATGAATTAAATCAGTGAATAATCAAATCTGCAAAAGTTAAACTCACAGATGTGGTTGAATGTTGTCATAAAATGTTTTAATACTCTTTGAATGTTTTTATACTGTTTTTATTTAAATTGTATATTCATGCTTTTGGTTGTGGGCACCATGGTGTGTTGGCTGTTAGTCCCTCTGCAGAGGTCGAGATGGGACGGGATAAAAATGTCCAAAATAAATAAATAAGTAAAATCATTGTTCTTCTGAGTCAAAAAATGAAGTTACCACCCTAGTTGTGTGTTTCTTTCTCTGAGTGTGTTATGCCTGTTTTTCAGATTACATGAAAGCTTAATTAATGTTGGGAAATCAGCAGATCTTTAAACATTTTAGATTAATTCTCTTAAGGATCTACATCTAAATAAGTCTGCAACTACAATAACCAATTCAATGTTCTAACTAAATTAAAAACTCAACTACTTACCAATCAAACTGAAAGGCCAATAGCCCATAGCACAAAGGAAATATAGATTTCAGAAGAAAATTCCTGAATTACCACCTCAGTCTTATAACAACTATCAGAATTTATTCAAAGTACCAATTGAAAGAAAATAAATATTAATATAATTCTGTTTCAGAAAAGTACATATTTTCAAACATATCACCAAACTCTGAACATGAAACTAGTTACTTATATTTATTCTATTCTGTATTTACTGTTCTAAACCTTGTGGAATACAGAAAAAAAAGTACTGACTATAATATTAAATATGATGCCAGATCACTTTTTTTCCTCAAATTGTACCGGATAGCTTTGCTCTTTTTGCTCTTGCCAAAAAATATTTAATTTTTCCATAATCTTCCATTACTCTAGTCTGGTACTGGTACCAGCTATTTTTAAAAAGGGCTAAAATAACAAAAATGTCTATGATCTTGGATTGCCAAAACAATAGAGACTCTCATAGTGGCTGAAGTCTGATTGAACAAGCCAACAGCTCAGCAGAAAAAAAAAATCCTAGAAATATATACATAAGATTCCACATTCTATCTACACCTCTAGCTGTAATGTATCTGACAGCAGATCTAGGAAACACCTCTGCCGAAGACTTGTGAAAACCAGTCAGTCAAAAAGACAACAATGGTCTAGATCACTGCTTTTTAAACTGTGGGTTCAACCCCAATGTGGTCCTTGAGGTGCAATGTTGAAATCACGAAAAATCTGGCAGCAGTAAAAGGTTTCTCAAGTCATTTACACAAATCTGTTAGCAACAACATGCAGTGTTTACAGTTGACTCTGCAGAAAATGCTTCAGCTGTATTCCACAAAAAAAGAAATTTGGCCCATTAAGCAAGCCTTGCAAATCCTGATTTATTGTCAGTAAATGTTTGATTTGTATGCCTATGTTATATACCTATAGATCTGGGGTCACATAAAATATTATCGAGTGAAAACGGGTTGTGACTAAAAAATGTTTAAGAAGCCCTGGTCTAGACAAACATCTCATACCTTTTTATGAACATACATTGGTATGTGCAGCTGAATACACTGACCACCTTGTCAGTGAAATACCAGGATAATTCTGGAAAGTAGGCTACTGGAAATAAAATATTGGTTCCAAGTGGGTACCGCAGAGAAACAATAAACCTTTGTTATTACCATATAATTTTTTTTTATAAGACTCAAGTCACTTTTAGTGAGATAGATTACTTCAGGTCCTTTCAGTAACAACAAGACTACCTACACATTCAGAGCAGATGGCTGCTATACATGTTTCAGATTCTTAGCGTAACTGGTTCAGGAAAACATTTTTGCTGACAGTAGGCTGAAGATAGAACGAAGAACTGAAGGGGAAATATTTCAAAAACTGTTTTAACCCAAACACTAACATGAAGACTTTTGCTTAGGAGAAGACTTTTGCTTAGGATTGTTTTTTTTTTTCTTTCCCCTTCCCTGTTGCATTACTATCAAACATAGCTCCACTGTAGCTGTTTAATTTTTCCTCCAATGAGGTTCCAAAATGTGGATTGATCTGGCTATATTCTGGGAAGGGAAATTCTTTAGGGGGTGACTCTGTAAGAACAGACACTCTAACTTCCTTCTGGTAATTCTCCCATTTAAATGCTGTCTGTGATTCTAGGAAACATTAGTAACAATGTACCATTATATATTAGTGTATAAGATAACCTCATGTATAATTTGAGGGTGGATTAGGGACCAAAAACTATTGATTGTGATTATGACATGTGGGTAAGTCAAGGGTAATTCTGCACAGTTCCTTTATTGATAAAAGTTTAGCTATAAGTATTATCTCCTCCTACAGAGAAAGCTTAAAAACGTGCTTCTAATGGACAATTTCTCTTCAGAGAAATGCTATTTTGTAAATCCAATTAATGGCAATGGGTATGTCTATA